TGCAATACCCAAACCTTCCTTTTGAGCAGGAAACCCAACACGAAGCTGATACAAACCGGCTGAAAGAAGACGGTAACGTTAAAGCGGCTCCTCAAATTCAAGAGCAAGTCTCCGGCGACTCTTCTGAGGCAGACACCAAACAGCTCGCTCAGTCGTTTCAAACCCAAGGCAACAAGCTCGCAGAGGTGTGTGTATACTCGCAGTTGTTTTCCTTTCTGATTTTCCTTTCAAAATTGATACTTTTTATTTCTAGAATCTAGGTTTAGAGGTGAAATGCATAGAACTTAATCGGGGAATGGGTAGTCGTGAAGTTAATTAATTGAAGGTTTAAATGCTTAGTATTGCTCTGTCTCAAATTATATTTTGGATTACATGATTCAGCTTGTTCATAGTTATTGCAAATTTTTTGTTTTTGAAGGATGGGAAATACCGGGAAGCACTTGGGAAGTGGGAGGCAGCTCTTAATTTGGTACCTGAAAATGCAGTTCTTCATGAACAGAAGGCGCAAGTTCTACTCGAAGTTGGTGATGCATGGAGTGCATTGAAGGCAGCAACTCGTTTGTCTCAGTTCTTCCTTACTTCTCCTTTTAAGAGTATAAATATATAATTTTCAAGAGGACTTAGTATATTTACTTTTGTGTTCTTCTTGCCAGGGGCAACTGAGTTGGAACCTTCATGGGCTGAGGTATGTAAACAATGTACATCATGAATGCAATGTTAGCACTGGCTATATCATATTATCATTCCTCTTTACATATGTGATGTCAATTCTTCCCCTTTTAAACATGCCAAATCTCTCTTTACGAATCTGTTCAATAAACATTTTGCTGGTTGATATTTTAAGTTGAGGTACATAACTGCTGAAATTGAATTTATTCACGTGACTTAAGGATTGGACTGACCTATGTTTTAGAAAACTCATTTTGATTTCATAAAAGCTGCCCTTCATTGGGACTTGGGAGTTCAGGGTAGCTCTTTCCTTTAGGTTACAAATGAAATTCTGTATTTATTTGGGATTCTCTCTTATTGTTGCTGGCATGCCAGTGAATACAGGATCTATGTTCTGGCATGCTAGTGAACATAGGGTCTATAAGAGCATTGTATTAAAATTCTGGTTACAAATAAAAGTTGGCTTTTAGCTTCAGTTTTGAATTCATTTTTCCAACCTCCATAAGAACTAGAAGCATATATTCAGATCAAGTTCCTTTGACATTACTATGGATAAGCATCTATTGTGCTCAAGGTTGCACTTTATAAGTGTAATTCAGCTTTTCCTCTTACTAATCTGTCATAGGAATCTATGCTAAGACAAATCTTGCAAATTACATTTTAGTATATGTTTGTTCAATGTTCTTAGAGCAGCAAATGATAATGGTACTCAGTTAAATGAATTGTTCAAAGTGACTATATATTTGTTCCTTTAACTTTACCAAGTTCTTTATTGTGGTGGTATGTTTATGCCTTTTAAGGCTCCAGTTTACATAGCATGCTCTTCTCAGGGTTTTAATCTAACTGTTCATCATTTATTTCTGGTTTATGTTGCTTACGCTTCTCTCTCTCTTTTTTAACATGATGGTTTGTAAGAAAGATTTGGCCATCCTTTACCTGTGCAAAATAGATTTTTATTGTTGTGTTTTATGTCAAATTGTTATTTTATCTTACGAGAGTGGTTTCTTTCAGGCTTGGGTCACCCTTGGTAGAGCACAGTTAAACTTTGGGGAACCTGATAGTGCCATTGAAAGTTTTGATAGAGCATTGGCAGTCAAGGTACATATTGAAAAGCTTGTCATTTTTAAATTCCCGTATAGTTTTGCTTCTGTTCCTTTTCCCTTTAATGGTTATAGTCTTAAAACTTTGCCCTTTCTTATTTTGGGGGGAGTTACTGCCCTTGACCTTTCGTTCCACTGGTTGAGTAATTGAATTATGGGTGCAATGGTAAGAAATCACCAGGAATGGTAAGTCGCAATCGCAATAGATAATTTTGAAAGAAGTACATTCTTTGGAGCAAGAGAAATTAATAATGGGTTAAATCAGAAGCTGGAAACATCTTGAAACAGTCTGTGTTTTAGAAAATCAAGCGGACTATCTGAATTCTTTGATACTTTGTTCTACATTTTGCTATAGTTAATGTTCAATGCAGCTTAAGCCATAGTAAGGAAAAAGTACCTTATGAGTGCACAAAAAGTCCGAAACTTAGTCAGTGCTTTTCAATATATATATATTTTCTACTTTGATATTTTAAGCGCCCCTTACTTGCAGCCTGATTCCATGGAGGCTCAAGATGATAGAAAAACGGCCTTACAGCTTGTGAAGAGGAGAAAGCAGCTTCATTCATCTGGCTTGAGTACCACTAAAAGCCGTTACATGGTTGGTGATAAAACTGAATCCCCTTGAAGAAACATGAAGGCAGGGCAGATATTTTTCGCCTTCGTGTATGATTTCAAAATATTGTTCGTGGCAGGAGCACAAAAGAATACTGGAATCATAAAGACAGCTGATATGGTAAGCCACAAGAACACTCATAATATGACTGAGAGGGTAGGTAGCACATGTTAGACACATTTGCTGTAAAGGTTCGAAATTTCTAGTGGAGGAAAGTTCAGTGATAAACCGAGATGTTTGAAACATGTGTTTGCAACATGTTATTTATGTTAATATAATAGAGGTCAACTAAAAATTTTCTCGGAACCCTGTAATATGTACATTGCAATCCAATAGGCGAGTTATGAGTCCAAAACCTGATTAAACTCAACCTCGTGGCAAAAT